ACTACTTGACAAAATATTAGATAACTTTCTTATGATCATTTCTGTGTATGTGACACTGATATATCCTCTAGTATCAAATAAGAAATGGATTACTACTACTTGACAAAATATTAGATAACTTTCTTATGATCATTTCTGTGTATGCGACACTGATATATCCTTTAGTATCAAATAAGAAACGGATTACTACTACTTGACAAAATATTAGATCACTTTCTTATGATCATTTCTGTGTATGTGACACTGATATATCCTCTAGTATCAAATAAGAAATGGATTACTACTACTTGACAAAATATTAGATCACTTTCTTATGATCATTTGTGTGTATGCGACACTGATATATCCTCTAGTATCCTTCTTGTAAGTGGATTACATTTTATGGAAAGGCACACTTTGTGGAAATTCTTGTAAGTGGATTACATTTTATGGATAGATACAATTTGTGTAAATTCTTGTAATTGGATTACATTTTATGGAAAGACACTCTTTGTGGAAATTCTTGTAAGTGGATTACATTTTATGGATAGATACAATTTGTGTAAATTGTTGTATAGTTTAGGGAGTGATGCCAGAAGTGTTTGGGGCTGAAGGAAGATATATACTTGATGAAAATACTTGTTTAAAAATAAGGTTAGGAAAGAGGAAATTCAAACTAGAGTTTTTATAGATGATGGTATTGTATTATACAACTCTTAAAATTTAACTGAACCTTTACCTCATTTTTAGTGTAGCCTTGAAACTAAACATCAGATAAATACTGGAAATATATTTCCACTGTAATTTTATCAAGTGAATAAAAGATGCTGCTTCTATTGTGCACATTTAATGATTTAAATTACAGGGTTTGTCTCGTATAATGAATTCATACGTTACATTTCTTATACATAACCAAAACTGGTAGGAGTGTGGCATTGTTGTGGTGGTGTTTGTCGTCTAGTGATTACACGATAACTTTTGTTTCATAGACTAAACATCTCCCCTTTTTTTGTATTTATTCTACTATTGCTTTTAGAACATATAGATTTAGGCTACCGATTGTAGCTTCTGTTCTTGTATATTTATATTTTGTTATTATTTACTGCAAACTCACCTTTTGCTTATAATTAAAATTTTGATTAAGTGATGACATAAAAATGTTTAGTTTTGCAAAATGTTTTTCTGTTTCTTTGTAAGTATGTGGGAAAGCAGGTGTTTTCTCACATCATTTGTAATTTTCAGCTTACATTGTAGACAACCCTTAAGTAAAATATGGTATGGTCAATAATGTATTGTTGGGTAAGAAAGTTTTTCTAAGCATATGTAAACATTGCAAAATAAAAATGATTAGGTGTGGAAAACCCTGGAGACAGCAGAGCGATCTTTACTGGACATGATCAGCATTAAGGACTATGACTGCTCTCTGGTATTTTCTGAAGATAGTAGCAACAGAAATGGCTTAAGGCAACCTGAAACTCTTGCTCTAAAATTGCGAGCTGACAGACAAGAAACAGAAGACTTCTATTTAAATGTATGATATTTTTTACTAATCCTTACAGAAATTACAAAATAGAGGTGAAAATCATTAGTAGAATTATTTCTAATGTTTAAACAACTTAAAAAGTTTAAGCGGTAACAAAACTGGGTTTTTATTTAATTTTCTGATTTTTGGAACAATAACTATTTACTGGACAACATTTATTTGCCTTAGGTTAAAGCAATGGTTTTTAAAATTACAGTTTTGTAAAAAAACAGTTTATTTTTTTATAAATTCTGATGTAATACTACTTGTGCATGTGTTATATAATGGTACAATTTATATCTTATACATTCTGATTTAATACTAACTATACTGTGTTAATTTGTTAATCATATATATCATCAAATTCCTGCCTTTCTTTATGCTATACAAGTTTTTAATATATTTATAGCACAAACGTCCAATTCAATACTTAAACCCATTTAACAATAAGTGATTTTTTTTTTTAATTTGGTAAATTCATCAACTAACTGCTTTTACTTAGCTCTGAAACTAGAGGAGATTGAAAATGAAAAAAAGTTTTTTTAATTTTTTAGTTTTATTATCAATTCATTAATTTAAGTATTTTACACATTATAATTTGAAAAGTAAAATCATTAAGTTTTAATAAAAAAAATTGTAAATTTTAAAAATTGTAGAAATTTCGAAAATACACTCTGGATGGTAATCTCATATCTCGGCTCCAAGCTAAAGCAGAACTGATCCATCGAGCAATACTTATTGAAAATGCTAAATCAAGCAATGGTGACTCCCCACCTAGTACTGTCTTGCGGCCGCACACCTTGCCACATCGAACAAAGAAAAAGAGAATAGGCCAGACTCCAGTTGTAGGCCAGCCAAAGTTATTTGGTGGCAGCCTGGAAGAGTACTTGGATGTAAGTATGTTTGAAATAAATCTCTCGCTTTCTGTAAATGAGAGGCCCTAATAACCAGATAGATGTAGACTTTACAATTGATTTTCTTTTTAATATGCTTCTTTTTAAATTTTGATGAAATTTTTATGTGTTTGTATGTTACCACTGTTGGAGAAACAGTAGTTTAAAGAAAAGTTACAAAGTAGATTAATGAGTATCTGCTTATTCGATACTAAAGGATATATCAGTGTCGCATACACACAGAAATGATCATAAGAAAATGATCTAATATTTTGTCAAGTAGTAGTAATTCTTTTCTTATTTGATACTAAAGGATATATCAGTGTCGCATACACACAGAAATGATCATAAGAAAGTGATCTAATATTTTGTCAAGTAGTAGTAATCCATTTCTTATTTGGTAATTTACGTGAATTACATTTAGAAATGGAAAGATACACCTTGTGGAAAAGTCTCAAAGTGGGTTCCTCGTCGTCTAATACTGAATTAATACAGGGTAATTATTTGTTTTATATCAGGTTAAGTAATAGCTATCAATGAGTAATCTTTGGTCATGTGATTTATGTAACTAGTTTCTTAATACGGTAAAATGACCAAAGACAAATGTTCGGGGAATTAAAGTGAAGGTTATAACATTAATTTAATTAATAAAATTAAAAGTATTGATAATCAATAAAATTTTAGGCAAAGTTGTAAGCTTTGCTAATACAGCCAATTATTATGAAAACAAGATAGTAAGTGAAATTTTGAGAATGTTGCGGGATCTTATGATTTCGACCCAGTTGGGAAAGTCAGTCCCAGTATTTGAAAACTGGTCAAACAGTATACTGTTGTTTGGTAGAAGTTTGACATGTAGAACAGTTACTCAGGTACTCTTAAATAATAATAATAACTGTAACTCCCTAAAAAATAATTTCTGGATTTTTTCTTGAGTTATTAAAAGTTAAAAAGAAATTATACTTTTGACTTTGGGCAAGTGACATTTAGGAATTCTATACTATAAATGATTATTACTAAAGTGTACAGACTTTACAATTTGAATTTTGAAGTTTTGAGAATTGCAAAGACACTTATGTAACTTGAGTTAGGGTTTTTTTTTGGCTAAAAATATTCAGGAAGTGTTTTTAGTTTTATGGACCCTGTAAGATAATATTAAAAGATTACCTAATCTTGCTGAATTTTTCTCATCTAGTGTATGGATTTTGGGTTCTACACCTGTGTTGGACGCACATTGAAAATGTATGTTAGTGCAGAAGAATGTCTCCAAAAATTGAAACAAAATGGTATTGATCGCATGATGAAATGTGTGGATAATTTGGATGCAAGAGTAGATAAACGACGCTTTCTAGAACATAACAATTCAGCCTTTATGGTTCCCAAAAAATTTGAATTTCAAGCTCATAAAGGAGATCAGGTAATTTTTTGTAATGATATTTATTTACTAGATTTCATTGTTTCTTTTTTTTTATTTCTTGCTTATATTGTTTCTATAGAAATAAAGATTTTTCCGTGTAAGTTACATGTTGGATAGATGAAGTTTGTGACAAAGTTTCATGAGTTGTTATTGGGAACATGTTCACAAATCATTGTAGATTATGTGAGTAAAACTTAGAAAATCCCAAGTTTTAAGTTATTTCAGTGATCCTATTGATTATAAAGTATGGCTTCTAAATATAAAATCAAAGTAATGTTCAGGAAGTTTTATGTTCTGTGTAATCTAAGCTTTTCACACTTGGATCTCCAGTGAAGAGAGGCAAATTGGTTGGATTGTGTGTGGGTTTAAAAGAACAGAAACTTGTTTAAAGTTTTTAAAGCTTAAAAGAATTGTTAGTTTGGTAAATTTATTTCAAAATTAAATTTGAACAAAGATATCAAAATAGTAGGTTATAAGATTCGTAACAATATGTTCAAAGACTCGTACGAGCCTCGTATACAATTCATACGGACATATAGTGACTTTTTCTGTCAGGATCTAATGGAATTTAAAAAACGTCTGAGGAACATTAGAAAAAAGATTTATGAATTTGCAAAATAATTTTAGAAAGTCTTTCAAATTTTAATGAGATTTTTCTACGTGTTGTGGAAACTGTATGAAAGCGGTACTGGGGTGTTGTAAAGTTTATGTATGTCATCTTGAAGTTTAGAATAATATATATTAAAATTCATGTTAATATATTCTACAGGACTCTTCAAACAATAATTAACAAGTTTGTTAAGAGATCAGTTGGTTATGGGCTGTAAAAGAATGGAACGAGATCATTCCATTAATCAAGTAATAAGAATCATTCTTTTCAGAGCACTAACAAGGATTGGAGTATTTCAGACATATTGTAAATAAATAAATAAGTTTTAAATCCAGATAAGAAAGAAAAAAAAAATCAATTTGCCTGATATTTTGGTTTCACACTTTCATCAAGGACTTTAGCTGCTGGTGAGGCTATAACTGAAAATGAATAAAATATTACTTTTTTCTCTAGAAAAAAATGTCATTTATTGACACTATTACTGTTACAGCTGCAACAGAAAAGTTGTTTGACAAATGATTGTTTTCACTGAAGGTATCTCAGCTGTTCATAGACAAAGCTATAAAGGAAGAGGTAGAACAGAGATACAAACAACTCAACAAACGCCTTACTTCACTGAAGACTGAAAATGAAGAGGTAAGCATGATCAAAGTTCTTGTATGTGGATTCTATTTTATAGAAAGGCAAAGGTACACCTTGTGGAAAATAATGGTTGGAGACGGCTTGAATGGGTAATGAAGAAAAACTTTAACACAAGTTTAATATAACAGCAAATGTACAACCTTTCGACAAGGTTTTGTCATCATTCAGTATTCAATGACGAGGAACCCACTTTGAGACTAATAATGGTTGGAGGCGGCTTGAATGGGTATTGAAGAAAAACTTTAACATAACAGCAAATGTACAACGTTTCGACAAGGTTTTGTCATCGTTCAGTATTAGACGACGAGGAACCCACTTTGAGACTAATAATGGTTGGAGACGGCTTGAATGGGTAATGAAGAAAAACTTTAATATAAGTGTAACATAACAGCAAATGTACAACGTTTCGACAAGGTTTTGTCATCGTTCAGTATTAGAC